GATCATAATGGTCCCTTCTGACCTTAAAGTCTATGAGTCTATGAGCATTACAGTGGGACTTGGGAGACCTGAGTTCTGTGGGAGGGTGAGCTTCGATAAGTCATGTCCCCTGCCAGTGCATCAGTTTCCCCATCAGTACAATGGGGATTATGAGGCTTGTTACCCGAAATTGGGCCAGCTAGTAAGCTTAGGGAGAACTAATGACCCACCAGAGTTTGGCAGAAAGCAGCATGTTTATTATACTGATAACTAAACTCAAAAGGGGGGGGGTGTCACACTCACACTCGCATATTCACACCCCCAGGACAGGCATGGCACTGGAGATGTCAGGATCCTTCAAGGTAAGTGTCCCATGGCGCAGCAATGGACAGTGCAATGAAGGTAAGTCTTCCCGAGGTACAATGAAATGCAACGCGGTGAACCACTGGCCAGGCAGTCCGGGCAAAGGGCCTTCATGGGAGGTACAAGCTTGTGAGTGCACTGCTTAGCCCATGGCCCCTTCCCCTTTTAAAGACCTGCTCCTCATGGCCTGTGACTAGAGATGACTTGGCTGCATCTGGTTGATCACACTCCACCTCGGACAGTGTCCATGCATTGGGTGTGTGAGCGCTGCCTATTTAGAGTCCCAGACACCTTGTCTACCTGGGAGCTCTTCTGATCTTCCAGCTGTTCAAGCAGCCCATTCATTCCACAAGCACTCCAGGAAGGAGGGGAGGGGGAAAGCCACTTCACAGGTATTCAAAGAGGGAGAGGAGACAAAACAGTGGGGGGAAGGTGTAACAGACCCTTTGAAAATACAGGTTATACAGAGCATACAGATCACTGCTGCTCCTACAACAAGGCTGACCTCCTTTGTAAGGCACTTGTGAGATCTACTGATGAAAAGAGCTACATAGTATTAACTCTTACTCCTGTCCAGTATCCTATACACCAGGGATCGGCAACCTTTGGCATGCGGTTCACCAGGGTAAGCACCCTGGCGGACCGGGCTGGTTTGTTTACCTGCCATGTCCTCAGGTTCAGCCGATCGCAGCTCCCACTGGCCGCGGTTCGCCGCTCCAGGCCAATGGGGGCGGTGGGAAGCAGTGGCCAGCACATCCCTCAACCCGCGCCACTTCCCACCGCCCCCATTGGCCTGGGACGGCGAACCGCGGCCAGTGGGAGCCGCGATAGGCCAAACCTGCAGATGCAGCAGGTAAACAAACAGGCCTGGCCTGCCAGGGTGCTTACCCTGGCGAGCCACGTGCCAAAGGTTGCCGATCCCTGGTATACACTAATGGTATATGAAATGACATGGAGATTTTCTTTTAAGAGGGATGAGGAATTTTTTTTAATGTCTCCATATTTTAAGGCAAAAACTGTAGCACAGTTCAAATGAAGGCATCAGCTGGGGACGGCGATGGTGCTTTTTGGGGGAGTGTGGGAGGAGAGGGGTTGGTAGGCTGGTTTGTTAATTGGATTCTGGCCCATCAAGGGAAAGTACAGAGCTACAAAATCATTTGTATTTTTGAGAAACGCAAGAGCACAGCTCCTCAGCTGGTGCAGATCTACATAGCTCCACTGATTTCCATGGACGTACACCTGCTTTTATGATATACATTCTGACTTCTTTATTAATGGCCAGCAGGATGCAGTAGCTGACGGTAGCGACGCAACATGGTCCAGCAGATCAGACATGGAAACTCAGGGTTTTACTCCCCCCACCCAACCTGTCATGGGTGGCCTTAGCCAAGGTATGTTTCCTTTGTCCAGTGTATTTATATTGCAAGCATCTTGGGGATGGCCCTACATGGTTGTACAGCATGTACTACAATGGGGCCCTGATCTTGTTGGGGCCCCTTTCTGCCACTGTACTAATTACTGTGAGAAAGGATAAGTAGGTCAGCTTCAGTATGGCTTTCCTGGGTATTTTAAATGCTCACTTTGACTTGTTAGGCATGGGTATTGCTTGTGTTAGACTCTCTCTTCCTACAGTTGGGGAAATTATTTGCCTAACTAGGGGGACAGAATAAAGCCTAGGTTGGAGGTTTATTATTAATTCATATATTTCCAAATCTAGACTAACGTGTCATTAGGGCTGAACGTGCCTTTGACATTATGGTTGCTTAATAGTATAGGAAGAGAGTGCAGCGTTTATGCAGTATTGGTTTTCTTGCCATGCAAAAAAAAAATCAATAAAAATAAAGCAAAAGCACTTGATGGTGCAGGTGCTAGATAATGGGATGTAGTGCCTGGAGTGCTTTTACACCATATAATGTTTTTGTCTGCTTGCTTTGCCATATCACTGAGGCAGCATTGCACCTAAGGAATGATTCAATCAGAGAGACTAAAGGAAGTAAACAAACATCATCAGTGACATGCACAGCTTCTAAAATGATAGTTAACAATCAGCATTTCTCCAAGATCTAACTGCCTACAGAGTCAGTCAAATATATTGTGGTAGTATGTAGGAACCTCAGCCATAGCCCAGGAGCCCAGTGTGCATGGTGTTGGACAAACACAGAACAGTCCCTGCCCCAGAGAGCTGACAATCTAAGCAAGAACTTGATCTCAGAAAGTTCAGATTCACATAACCCTCTGCAGCCGTCTCCAAAGAACGTACAATGGAAGACTTGGATAAGCAGCAAGGCTGAAGCACTCCTGGAGATGCTCTTCCCAGAACGTGCTCAAGGCTCACTGGCTGGGCTGTGAGGAAGCTGGCACTTGTCCCCTGTTGCACTGTCATCAGTTCAATGGCTTGCCACAGCACTAAAGTTATGCTAAGAAATGAAACAAAATAAATGAGTTCAAAGGTCAAAGCCATGGAAGTACTTGGCCTGCACTGGGTAAAAGTGGCTGTCTGTTTGCAAAGCTCAGAGCTCATCAAATATTAACTATCCCCTCCCTGCCACATCCCTGCTGAGGGAGTGAGGAAAATCCCCACTGGGGTCATTTGGAAAGTTTCTCCTGCTCCAGAGCTTTACTGAAAAAGGAGCCATTCACAAGTGTGAGACGGGCAAGCGGAATCAACATCGAGGAGGTGCCAGGTAGAAAGGCAGAGCACGTGCCAGCTTAGGATGTCTACAAAACACGGAGAAGCCTCCCAAACAGGTGAGTAAGGAACAGATCCAACCTCCAGGTGAAAGAACGCTTAGGACTAGCTAGCAGAAATCCTCCTCCGGTAGGGCTCTGTTTGCAGGATTAAAGGCAGCAATTCCACAGGGTTAAACTGCCTGTGAACATTCTGGTCAGGGAGCTGGGCCATCAATCCCTTTGAACATTAGCCAACCCCTGCTGGTCTCTCGTGGTTCCCTGTCCTTGCTCCTGAGCTGAATTGGTAGCCACTTTTAGCTCCTCAAGCTTCCACCCACACCCACTGAGCACTAGGAGGAGAGGTCTCTGTGTCATAGGCCGCTTGAGCTGTTGTCTTGGGTTCCGCATGCAGTTAGCAAGTGGATGGGGGTGAGAACCCCCAGCAGCAGTGCAATGCGATGGGAAGTCTTCAAATACTGTTTTCCTGGGGGCTAGAGGAGGTGGTCTCCATTGGATAAAGGCCTGCACTGACACACACACACACCTGCATATGCACACATCCATGAGAAGAAAAACACTTCTCAAGGAAAGTGAGGGGAAAATCTGCAACTGTAAAGGGGTGGGGACAAATTCTGCTCCTATTAAAATCAATAGCAAAACTCCCACTGACTTCACTGGAGCAAGACCAAGCTTTAGACATAGGAAGGAATTAACAAACACCACTTAGTCTGGCTGGATGTTTGCGACTATGCTGGGGGTACAGGTGCGCAGAGAGCAGAACTTTAGAAAGGAAGGGTGCTTGGGCTTCACGCACTAGCCTCAGAGCACTGGCTCAGGTCAGTGTCTGCCTGGCTTACTAGGTGACCTTTGGCAAGTCACTCGCTCTCCGTAGCTCCCCATCCATACAACAGCGATAATGCTCTTCCCTCCCCCTCCCCACCTTTGTGCCTTTCTGGTCTATGGAGATGATAAGCTGTGGGGACAGGGACAGTCTCTGACTTTGTATATGTTCCGGGCCTAGCTCCATGAGATCTCCAGCTCAGGTTGGACCTCTGGGCTCTGCTCTAACAATAAAGACCATAAGCACGCAGAGGAGGGAATCGAATTGTGTTTTATCTCATATATAAGCCCCCTCAAAATGGCTTACTTTGGGAGCAGCTCCCTTCTCCCCAGCCTGCCCTCGACAACAATATTCCACTGTCAATTTACTTCTCTTAAATGACAAAGAGTCCAACTGCCTGGTCTTCTCCTTAACTGCACTATGTCCTTGGATTCTAAGTATGCTCCCTTTCTCTTCCCCATCCCACTAAGGGGCGGCCAAAGTGGAGGTGGGCTCAGAGGTCATGGCTGTGAGAAGTAACAGGGTGGTGCTGGATAATACCATCTGCCCAGCTGAAATCATCATCTGCAATGGCAAGATAGCTGACATTCTGCCCAAGAGGAGCTGGGCTTGTGCCAGCGGAGAGAAGGCAAGTATGGGCCAAAGTGCTAGATGAACTGGTATTGAGGAAACAACCATGTATCAAATATTAGAGAGGATACAAAGATAGAAGGAACAGCTATCAGGGTTAGAGTAGTTGCATTTAAAAATCAATGCAAAAAATGAAATCTTAAGGCAGATCCTCAGGTGAATCTGCAGACTCCAAAGACTACAGAGGTATATGTAGATTTACACCACTGAGGGTCTAACCCAGTGGATTATACTGGTGGAAGTGAGATCAGGCCCCTGGAACTTGGCACAAATAATGTAGAGACAGCCCCTGAAGTACCCATCCTTAGCTGTAGGCAAGATGCTGGGCCATTTTATTAGTTCCATATAGATGGCTAGCCTGTGACCTCCGTGACCTGAGAGTAACTCCACTCATTTGAATGGAATTACTACACAGTTCAACTGGCATCACTGGAAGTAATCAAAATGTTCTTTCTTTACCTCAGTGCTGACCCTTAGTGTAGTGAGCCAGGGCTCTCAGAGACCAGAGTAACTGGTCAGCACACATTTCCTTTCAAGTTCCCATAAACATTGTTAGTAAATACTCTAGCTGTGCCCCGTTATCACAATTTCAGGTGTGTGTAATGGGGGAAAACAGATGTGTCCTTGTTGTCAAGAAGGCTAATGGCATTTTGGGCTGTATAAGTAGGAGCATTAACAGCAGATCGAGGGACATGATCATTCCCCTCTATTTGGCATTGGTGAGGCCTCATCTGGAGTACTGTGTCCAGTTTTGGGCCCCACACTACGAGAAGGATGTGGAAAAATTTAAAAGAGTCCAGCGGAGGGCAACAAATGATTAGGGGGCTGGAGCACATGACTTATGAGGAGAGGCTGAGGAAACTGGGATTATTTAGTCTGCAGACGAGAAGAATGAGGGGGAATTTGATAGCGGCTTTCAACTACTTGAAAGGGGGTTCCAAAGAGTATGGATCTAGACTGTTCTCAGTGGTACCAGATGACAGAACAAGGAGTAATGGTCTCAAGTTGCAGTGGGGGAGGTTTAGGTTGGATATTAGGAAAAACTTTTTCACTAAGAGGGTGGTAAAGCACAGGCATGAGTTACCTAAGGAGGTGGTGGAATCTCCTTCTTTAGAGGTTTTTAAGGTCAGGTTTGGTAAAGCCCTGGCTGGGATGATTTAGTTGGAGATTGGTCCTGCTTTGAGCAGGGGGTTGGACTAGATGACCTCCTGAGGTCCCTTCCAACCCTGATATTCTATGATTCTATGCTTATCAGTGTCTGGATAAGGAGAGAGAAGCCAGAAAACTTGACTGCTTTGGGCTAGATCCCCAGATGGTGTAAGTTAGTGTAGCACTGTTTAAGTCAACGGGGTATGCCAGTTTACACCAGCGGAGGATCTGGCCCAGAGATTGGCCTGAACCAGAATCATGGGTCTGGAAGAGACACAAAAATCACACCCACACACAGCTCTGGTGAAGTTCACAGCATGGGCAAGCCAGCTGGGCCCAGCTCATCAAGATCACCTCTGTTCTGTCAGGTAAGTGCTAGAGCGTGCAGAGGGGAAATCCTCCTCAGAGGGGACAGGGTCCCTCTCTCCCAAGATTTGCTGCTTGAACACTGCTGAAGCTGCCTGCCCTCACTCCGCCCCTCCCCCCCGCCACACACATACACAATCAGCAGGCACGGGTTACCTCTGGTCCTCCTTAACAGTGTATTTTCAAACAGGCTGAAGCCAAGCCTCCTATTCTGTAGGTGTAAATTGAACCTACAGTATTGCACTTCTTAGATGAACGGAAGGTACACATCAGAGCACTTGCACCTCTAAAGTAGAGGTGCAAACTTGGCGAGTGCAAATTTCACCCACAATTGGAAGAACACCCTTTTGCAAGTTTGGCCCTTGGTATCAGGGACATGAACATGTGAAGTCAGCCATAAAATTTGTTTGGCATATTTTTAATACCTAATTAAAAGATCTTAGCAGGATCTAGTGCACAGGAGCAAACTGGAGACATGAAAAGAATAGCAAAGTAAATCATTGATTAACTGGGATCATCAGACTGGCATGTCTGAGATTAGGGAGCCGTTTTGACAGTGTGTAGGAATTGTACCTGGGTGCAGATGAACTTTAGAACATTTGCTACCTCACTGGCCTAGTACATCTGTTGGAGGTATTAATGGAAGTCATTGGGAAATCCATATCTTCCCATCATTCTGGAAGTCACTTCCTGATGGTGAAGCCCTGCACGGGACTATTTTTAAAATCCTGATCCAGTCCTGCCCCGTAATACACTCCCACCCACCCCCACATAGTTTCTTGCATTTTTATCCCACTTCCACCCGCAAAAACCTTAGATTCTGCAAAAGAGACAGAGTTTTTTATGCTACTAAAACAACAATTTTACCACTAAAAGAATAAAACAAATCTTGCTTAAACCACGTAAAAATACTTTAACTCGCGTTATATGAGACATCAGATCTCTTTCTATCCCTTGCTTAAATTTAAGTATTAAAACCTTTATTTTAAAAAAGAAAAACTTGCTGTACATTGCTCAAATTCTATATAGGACAAGGTGACGAGAGAGTTAGTGTTTTCCTGCAAACCCCCCCAGACTGGACTTTTTTCCTGACTGCAACAAAGTACATTTTACCCACTCCCACTTATGGCAGCAGTCCTGGGATCCACGGGATCCCATCCAGTCCCACTGCAGGGTTCTAGCCTGCATGCAAGAAACTGGATGTAGCAGGGACATCACCACTAGAGTACCCCCTTGTGGTAAAGGGTGGCCCTGCAGGCACCCCACATTCGCCTCCTGCGCCTCCCCATGACTTTCCATAGTCCAGAGTATTTAATATAAAAGGTTCCCCTTCTGGAGTCCGATTTATTGCGGCTGTACAGTTTCCAGCAGCCCTCTCCTTTCAGACCACTTCTAGCACTGCCTGAAGTGTGTGTGTATGTGTGTGTTTGTGCATGGGGGGCGAGCAGAAATCATAATCTGGGGGCAACTGCTGTGGTAAAACAGTGCTTAAAATGCACCCTCAGTAACCCAGCTCAGTTTGTATTTGCTTTGCCAGGTCTGCACCATGCCCCTGAAGCCCAGCCTCCAGGCCCAAAGCCTTCCCGCTTTGCTAAGGGACTCCACTACCCTCCTACCATAGTTACTTCTGTGCTTCTCCTTGCCCCCGCAACAGCTCCACCATGGCAGGCAACAAAGTCTTGCAAGAAACAGAAAGAAACAAAATCATCCTGACAACAGGGCTTCCTTCCAGACAGCTCTGCTGGGGCGCCTGCAGCCTGCCAGCTCACAGCACCCAACCAGCAGCCTCCCCTGCTAGATCTCTCTGGGACTCCTGCAGGAGACTTTAGCTCATCCTCGGCTCCATCCAGACAATCCCTATCTATCCCCAGACCTGATTGGGTCATATGGCTTACCTCATCTCTCCTCCCCCACCAGGAGAGTGGCTGGGGCTGAACCCATCTCCCCATAAAGGGCCAGCCACCCTGGGACACTGGGCCTTTTCAGTGCTAATCGCAATGTTGATGTGGGCTGAGAGGATTCTAACATGACCTCCCTCCCCCGGGATTGTCCGTGAGTTCCTTTCTCCCCACAGGTGCTGGACGTCGGTGATCTGGTGGTGATGCCCGGGATCATAGACCCTCACGTCCACACATGTGAGCCAGGGCACACAACCTGGGAGGGTTACTCTTCTACAACCAAGGCTGCTGCTGCAGGAGGCGTCACAACCCTGGTGGCGATGCCGCTGTACGGTACCGAAGGCGGGGTGGGAGCAGCATTACTGCACACACCTATGGGTTACCTCCTTGTTGCCATGCACTGGAAGGGGCCCATACAATGATAGCATGACCTTTGTAAAGGGAAGGATGGAGCGGAGAGCGAAGTGGCTCCTCACTGTGCATTGCACTGGGTTTGATGGGTCTTGGAGACCCGCCTGTCCTGCATGTGGATAGTTAGGCCCACGCCATCTCCCACTGAAATCTATGGGCATCTTTCCATCACCTGCAATGGGAGGGTGGATCAGGGCCCCTGCAGAATGTGGCAGACCCTCCGGTGGTATAAAGGATGAACCTAAGCAAATTTACACCAGCTGTGGATCTGGCCCCAGGACTTCAGCCCATTCTTTGCAGGTGTTGAACATGTGCTGTTCAGGTTGCCCTTTCCCTCTGCAATGCTGCTGAGTTATTCTGTCTGTGAAAGGTGTGGGGTGACAAAAGAATGGGAGCTCAATGGGTGCATACTATTTGCTAAACTCCTGCCAGGTCAGGGAAAGCCCAGCCTTTGCTGGGGGAAAGTTCCTTTGTGGCACGTGCCGCTGGGTGAAGCTATTCTCCGCCACCCCATGCAGCTTGGAACGCAGGACAAATCCCCTACAAACTGCAGCTCAGAGATGCAAGGGAAATAAACTGCATCCAAATCTGCCTGTTCCCAGCAAGCACTGCCATTGAGCCCAGCTCCTGAGTGACAAATGTGGTCCAACAGTGCTCTCTGCTGGCCACACCTGGTACTTTCAGGACGAAAAGAAAAAGGATTTATAAGCAGAAGTTTATTCTGAGAAGAGGGGCAAAGATCTTCATTCTGATGTCCATCCGAAGGCTGAACTAGGGGAAGTAGGGATCCAGGCATGGAGGGTCCCGATAGCAGAAGGAGACCATCTACAGGGGATGAGAACATAAAGGGGCTTGCCGCTGGCAGGGGACTAGGAAGTATAATCCATTTGTAGGGGCTGAGGGCTTTGGAGGAAGTGTCTGGTGGGGACGAGTGTTCTAAGGGAGCACCAAACCGTTGGTAGCTCTGGTCCCCATTTTGTCTTAATCATCCTCTGTCTATGGGAGCTAGCTGCGCCCCTGTCTACCCTGCACTCTCCTCATCCCGCATTCCTTGTGCACTCTTTCTCTACATCTCTGTAGCATTCTCCCTTCCAGTCAAGAAAGGGGTCTGGGCCTCACTAAGGTGCTCTCTCTCTCTATGCCCTCCAGGAGCTGTCTCCCCCCAACCACAACTCTGGCAAACTTTGATGACAAGATGCAGTCTGCCGAAGGGCAGTGCTATGTGGATGTAGCCTTCTGGGGTGGAGTCATCCCTGGAAACCAGGTCAGTGGCTGTTATTCAGCAAATGAAACAGCATGAAATACCAGCTGGAATGGGGCAAGGGCAGATACCCAGGACTCATCTCTTCTCTGGGGAGTTTCAGTGCAGGGAGCCAACGGGATTAGTGCTTCTGGAAACCTGGCTGCAAGTCACTAAAAAAATGCTGCACAATCAGTGCAGACTGCGAAATAAAGCAGAGGAAACTGATCAGTCCAACAAAGTTGTGATGAATGGGTCAGTCAATAATGCTGAACATGCCTCCCACTCAGCTGATCTGCCTAACCACACTGGGCTCTCTTGGGGAACGGACACAGAACAATGTCCCAGGGATGCTGCTAACAAATCTGCAGCCACTGGCAAGGCTCCCATTGACTTCAATGGGGCCAGGGTTTGGCTCCTGTGAGGCTGATGAGAGAATCCCAGTCCCTGCTGTTGTTAGAAGGGGCGTCTGGACTGGGTCAGCTTGCAGGTATTGGGAGGTTTGTGTTGGTCCAATCTATTAGCAATGGGGCAGTAAATATCATAATAATCATAGAATCATAGAATGTGGGGGAAGTCCAGGTTAGATATCAGGAAAAACTATTTCACTAGGAGGGTGGTGAAACACTGGAATGCGTTACCTAGGGAGGTGGTGGAGTCTCCTTCCTTGGAGGTTTTTAAGGCCCGGCTTGACAAAGCCCTGGCTGGGATGATTTAGCTGGGAATTGGTCCTGCTTTGAGCAGGGGGTTGGACTAGATGACCTCTTGAGGTCCCTTCCAACTCTGATATTCTATTCTATTCTATCCCATTGTCCTAGCACAGGGTCAGAGATTAGTGGGCATTGGCTGAGCAAAGTTGTTGGGTAACCACTAGCACAAATACAGCTTTGATCTGTTGAAATGAAGGATTTGCCTACTAAGGGGCATCTTGACCTTCAAAGTCTATTGGAATTTGACCTTCTCTGGAGGTAAATGTTGAAGAAACTGATGGCCCTATCCATTGTGGAGCAGAGCTGTCCCATATGCATGCTGAGTTATTGGCTAGGACGATGCCTCGTGGGGCATATGGACAGTAGTTTAGGTGCTCGTTCTTTGGCAGATTTTGCTTAAATGTGGCTCTCCTAGTTGGAGCCATCCAGAAGGGCTGGCTGAACCAGGTGCCTGATAACCTGCAAACGTAGAACATAACATCTATCTCAGTCACTGCCCTACTTTTATCATCTCAGATGGCCAGGCTATCATTCTGCAGCAAATGCTAGGGTTGGAATGCACACCCTGCAAAGGCTGCATTAGGCAGAAGCGGTGCATAGTGGGATGTCCAGGCCTGAGTGCATCACTTCTGTTGCCTGCTTTAGGATGAGCTCCTGCCCATGCTGCAGGCTGGAGTCCCAGGCTTTAAGTGCTCCCTGATTGCAAGTGGAGTGGAGGAATTCCCCCACGTCAGCCTCCAAGATCTGCACATGGCAATGAATGAGCTGCAAGGCACAGACTGTGTCCTCTTGGTAAGTGTCACTGCTTATGCTCAGCTACCCTGGTCCCATGACGTTCAGGTTCCTGCTTTCTCTCTTCAGATTCAAAACCCCAGTGCTACTGTACCCCACACACCTCCTGGGCGTGGTGTTCTGTCCCATTGAGTGGCACTGAGACCACTTAGAGAGAGATTAATGAGTTTGCTCTCCAGCCTTAACTAACAGCCATATGCCTTTTAGCTCATGCAGTAGAGGTGCATGCATTTAGCTCCAGAGGTCCCAGGTTTGATCCCGCCCGCCAACGACCGGGGTATGTCGGTGTTACACTACCAAATCAGAACAGCAGCATCTCCCACGCACTTGGCGTAAGTGTAACTAACTGCACCAAGGGCAGGGCAGGGCAGGGCCCACATGGTTCAGTGGGCAGCATTCCTGCCCTGGAGACTGAAAACAGATACTGGTTTCCAGCTTCCTCCTTCAAATATTACCTTCAAAGACAACCATCCCCATGACAAGCCTCTCCCCCTGGAGTGTGATCCCAGAGCACATGGAAACCTGGGGGACAAGCATCCCAGAAAAGCCATTGATAGATTAGACAGAGCCAACCTTTCCTGGCACTCCAGAAAGGGAGGAAGTTGCCATCATTTGTGTGTTATCTCAACCCCCCAGGACAGGCGGTTTCAATCCCCAGGAGACAGCAGGGCTCTTCTAATGTATGGCTCAGAGTGTGACCCATCAGGCCCTTCTGTTTCCTTCCACAAATGGGAAAGGAGGGTAATGGGAGGAGTAGCCTTGGAAAGGGCTTACCTCCCCAACCTGTTAGCATTAACCCTTCCCTCCATTTGGATTCGCTTTCCAGTTCCACGCAGAGCAAGAGCTGGGCCAGTGGAAGCCGGCACTAGAGGGTACGTGGTGACGACTCTGGGATGGAAACATACGGCAAGCACATCTCTCTATGTACACAGCCTGCAGGAGGCATATGGGCCTGACTCTCACTTCCATTCAGGCCCCTTTACGCTGCCAGGGCAGGGCACACACAGACACCCCATGACACTGATGAATGTTGCAAGCAAGAGCCTACTGACAGGGGTCACGGAATAAAATTCCCCTAGCCGTAACCCTTTCTGGGCAGTTAGCCACTCCCTACACATCCGGGGCCAGGTCCTCTGCTTGTGTAAATAGCCCACGGAGTCCAGGAGCACATCACTATGTCCCTTAGGCACAAACCTCCTGCACCTCGAGATGCAAACCTGACTCTATATCCTTCTCCGGTGTCTATGCAGACCCCACAGAGTACAGGGCACTCCTGGACTCCCGCCCCGATGCAATGGAAGTGGAGGCCGTCCAGACCATCGCTAATCTCTGCCTCCAGTACAAGTAAGGAACCATTCTCTTTGGGGTTGGGAAGCAGGGAGGAGAAACATGAGTGCTTTAATGACAGTGACCTTTGACCTCCAGAAAGTTGCTCTCTGCTTTCATTGCACAAAAGGGTGTGTGGCCCCTATCCATGCCAAGAGAGCCGTGGCAATGTAAATTGAGGGCAACCCATCACTGGGCAGAAAGGCACACACACACACGGGCTTCCCCTCCAGCAGGGAAGCCAGTGACCCCCTTCCCTCGCCCATCTCATAGGTGCGGTGAGTTGGCGTAAGCGCGTGTCCTTTCCTCTCAGGCACCCCCTCCTGCCCAGATGCAGCCTTGCCTGGGATATTGTCTCTCATACCCCTCTGGTGGCCACTTCCTGTGCTGTGGGGGCCACGCCCAGCTGCTCTCTTCTCCAGACTGCCTTGCTGGGTCTCCTGTGGCTTGGCTCTCTGGCCAAGTCACACGCTGGTTCAGTCCCCTTCCAGGTACCAAAAGGCCCAACTAATAGTTCTCCTGCCCTTCTCAGGTGCCACTAAAGGCCTCTGCTTCTTGGCCTCTTCTCTTGGCCCTGCAGAGCTTCTCCCGCAGGGTTCTCCTGCCTCCCTTCCCCAGGGATCTCCCTGTTGCAGAGCTTCTCTTTTAACTCAAACGCCTCCTGGGCATCTCCTCTATTCCCTCAGCCTCACACACCCTAGCTTGGGGCTCCCTTCTGCTCCTTGTGCGGCTCACATGCTGGCTTCTGCAGGCTCTTCCCAGAGGGGACCCTCCTCCTTAGCTCTGGTGCTTCACCACCACAGTTGGGGTCAGTCTCTCTTTAAGCCCCAGGAGACCGAGCTGGAGTCACTAATTATCGCTTATGTTACCAGCTCATCAGTGAGACTGAGGACAGTGGCTAAGTCATGGGCAAGGCCTTCCCCCTAACCCACAGGTGGTGACACTTCAGCTCTGCTCTCAACCATCACGAGATGAGGAGTGAAGTCACTGGCCTGAGGAGAGCTGCCCAGCCAACAGGATAACTGTCTCACGCTCTCTCCTAATAGGGTGCCCTGTCACATCCTCCATCTCTCCTCTGCTCAAGCCCTGCCCATCATCAGAGAAGCTCGCCAGAAAGGGGCACCACTCACTGTAGAGACTGCCCACCACTACCTCACCCTGACATCTGAACGCATTCCACCTGGGGGCACCTACTACAAGTGCTGTCCTCCTATCAGGGCCAAAACCAATCAGGTAATGAGACCTAGAGGGGCTCCAGAGGGGAATCTCAGCCCAAGACATCAGATGCCATGAGCATAACCAGGGCTGGGGGAAGGGGGCACCAGCAAAGGAGGGAAACAAGGCCACCATCTAAGAAGATACATTTCAGGAGCAGCAGAAGTCAGACTGGGCCAGCTCTTCAGTCTCTGTGGATCCCATCCTCTTGCCCCTCACTCCCATTCTGCAGAATCCAGGCAACTCTGTCACTCATGTCTCCTCTGCTTCAGTCACCTGGTGGTGAATCCCTGAGTGTGGCCTTGATCAAGCATGGTCCACTCTTGGGATGGGCTGTTGTGGGACACAGTGAGGTTCGGGAAGGAGGTGGCTACAGGGCCAAGGCTCTAGGTGACCAAGGCCCAGACAAGGGGTTTAGCCGCAGGAACAGAAAGGAATGGATGGGATTTGGACATGTTATGGAGGGAGAGTGGCAGGGGTTAGGGATGGTCTGAACAGAGATGATTGCTCTCGGGCTGAACAGAGGGTGCCTGGTTAAGGACAGGAAGGTAGGGCTGAGGGTCACCAGCACAAAAGTCTCCTAGCTAAACCATGTGATTGGTGCTGAAGTTACGTGGGGTGGAGCGAGCCAAGGACATTGACAGAGGGAGGAGGGGAGGTACTGCCAAAGGAAGTACCAAAGGAGCCTCAGATAAGCAGTAGGAGAAGCAGGAAAGTGCAGGCTCTGCAGCCTCAAGAATGGAGTGCTTCCAGGAAGATGAAGTGCTCCATGGTGCCAAAGGCAGTGTTCCCTAATGGCTAGAGCACTGGCTTGGGATTCAGAAGACCTGGGTTCTACTCCCAGTCAGCCTCTTGGTGACTGGGAGCATGTTGCGTCCCCTCCCTGTGCTTTGGTTTCCCTCTCTGTGCGATGGATGTAATGATGTCCCCTCCTTTGTCAAGCGCTTGGAGACTAACTGGTGACAAGTGTTGGCTAAGAGGCAGGTGTTACGATTATTGTCAGTTAAAAGGACACAAATGAAGAGGCCATGAGCTCTGCACTGGTGTCAGCTCTCCTGAGTTTCAAGATATCTGGTGTGTTTTGTAAAGCCCAGCTCGGGAAGTCACAGTCTCACAGGAGAACAGGGGCTGTGGGTTGTGTTAGTTCAGTTTCTAGCCCCCGAGATTGTAGAGAAAAGGTTTGAAAATGTGAAGAGAGTGCACCCGATGGGCTCAGAGACCAGGGACAAGCCAGCAGGTCCCTGAATGGATTGGGGCTTGGCCACATTGGATTTGACTACAGAAAGGTAGCTGATGACCTTGGCAAGGGTGGCTGCTGTGGAGTCAAGAGAGCAGAAGCCAGGCTGCCAAGGCCCCAGGAGAAAAGGCAGGGCTGGGCAGTTACCTGTCTGGCTACAGCAAGGTCCAGGTACTGTATAAACCAGCCTGGGTTGTGGGTATCCAGGACAGGAGGCTATTAAAGCTGTGATAACAAAGGCCTCTCTTCAGTCAGTGAGGGATCTTTCCTAGCTTCCGTCTCCACACTACTCAGTTCACAGCAGCCCCCTGGAAGATGATTGAGCCCATCTCAGCAAGCAGAATGTCCCATTTGATGTTGTCAGGTGGAACCACTTCTCTGTCTTATGAAAGGCATCAGATGAAGCTTGTCAGGCCAGGAACATTCCAGCCCTCCAGGACCGGGCATGAAGGGCAAGGGGGTGTGAAGAGTGCATGTGGCTCGCTGCTCCTTCCTGTGGTTCTGGCAGGGTCTGGTGTGCCATCAGCTAGGGGGAAGCTGGGTTTGGACAGTTGCAATTAATTGCTGTAGGATGAGATGTACTGATAAAGCTATGGGGCTGTGTGCTATTCAGCCACTAGCTGTCTTGTACACTGGACACGGGTCCAGGCAGGGAAACAAAGCTGGAACAGGAGCTGTGTAGAAACCTCCTTGTTTGTGTTTATATCTAGTAGTTTAATTTAATCAGTGTCTTCTATATAAAATGGACTGAGAGTCCATATATCATGACAGGATGACTCAGGTTAATTTAAGACTTTCTGCATATAATAATGGTCCTGTGAGACTAGCTGGCAGAGCAAATACCCTCTTCTGTATAGGAAAGAGTCCTCCACCCATCACAGCCTGTTGTGAGGTTAACCTCTCCCTTTCTCTTGCCTCCAGGAGCAGCTGTGGAGTGCTCTGCAAGAGGGGCTGATCGATATGGTGGTGTCAGCCCATAACCCCGGCTCACCAGACCTCAAAATCTTGGATGATGGAGACTTTTTCAAGGCCCGGGGAGGCATTGCCTCACTGCAGTTTGGTAAGAGGGGTGGGTCAGAACAGCCTGGCTGTATTGAGTCTTCCAGATATGGTGTACAGCAGGGCTTAAATTCAGCCAGAGCCCTCCAGAGCAGAGCTCCAGTAAATGTTTTCAAAACCTTAGGAGCCCTGGTGCCTCCCCACATGGGACAGAAGCTGTGAGCCCCAGTGCCTACTCCCCCCCCCCTAAAGCCCCAAGTCACCCGGCCTTGCAGTTGAAGCCCCGAGCCCTCAAGGTGGGAAATAGTCTCTGAGAACTGGGAAATAGTCTCTGAGAACTTAAGCCCTAGTGTACACTCATGGCAACTCAGTGCTTGGTCATCTTCCGAGGGGATGGGGGCTGCTTCAGACTCCAGTTCTGACCCCCCCCGCCCCCTCCCGGTGGTTTCATTAGCTGTATTCTGCCTTATCTACTGCCCAAGCCTCAAGATGACTACCCCAGTCCTTCTGCATTATTCTATTCATGTTCTCCTACCATGTTTGTCACCCTGGTATCTGAGCACTTTCCAGTAGTGCATTAAGCGATAGGCCTAGCATCTGCCACATGTGGACCATTCATTCGTCCAAGTCCCAGGGGAAATAATGCATGTGGCTGTTTTGTTGTTTAATGTTCAGTTCTGGGTACTGCATTGTCTGTTTTTATCAGCAAAGGCCAGGTGGAAGGAGTGCATCTTGCACTTGACGGGGACAGCGATGAGGGTTGTGGGCATGCGTTCCACACAGCCTCTGTTGGCTAAGGCATGTGGAGGAAGGCTGCAGTGGCTGTCCAAGCTCTGGCTAGCTCTAGCCACTGTTATCAGCCCCTGTAGTGTAATGAGAAATAAATGCACTCACAATAAACAGAGACCCTTGTTCCCACTACTGATGGAGGACCATGGAGGGTAGAGACCTCTCCAGCTTCAGTTGCTCAATCTCAGGAGCCATGTGTGACCTTCCATGAGCAGGCGATAGACATGACCCATCAGTAACAGCCTTGATCCCCCTACACATGTCCTGATTGCTGTTGGAACCACACGCAGGGCTTCCTCTGTTCTGGACCTCAGCAAAATCCAAGGGATTCTCCCTTCATGACATGGTGCAACTGATGTGCAAAAATCCTGCCAGCCTGAGCCGACTGGATGACCACAAGGGGACGCTGTGCACAGGGATGGATGCTGACTTGGTGATCTGGGATCCAGACAAGGAGTTTGAGGTAATGATGGGAAAGGCGTGTGGCACAGAGTTGGAAATGCCCAACATTGGGTGTGTGCAGTATAATAATTAATAGGGAAATAGGATGAGTCTTTGGCTTGAGATGATCCAAGATGTAGGCTGAGATATACAATAGTATATACGTAATGAATAGAAGGGCAGTCTTGATAGACTGAGATCGGACACTTGTAGAATAAAATTTCGCCTAACTTTTGGTTGCCACTTTCATTCATCTCCTGTGACCTGTTACCCTGAAAAGGAACATGAGCCTCTGTTTATTTCCCTACTTGAGGAGGTCCAGGATGATGCTGGTTAAAAGAGTCCCATTCCTAGGTGGTGACAGGGAGCAGGCCATGTTTGAAGACATTCTCAATTCAGCAGCCATAAAATTCATTGTTGTTGTTTTTTTTTAGGTGAAGAAAAACATGATTCAACATAAAAACCAGGTACAAGAACAGTTCATACTCTCTATATTCACACAGTACATCCTCTTTCTACCAACCCCCTCGGGAAAGTAGTAAGACTTTAAACTAACCCCCTTTTATTGTTGGTAACTTGCACCCTCACCTACTGTCAGGGCCGGCTCTAACTTTTTTGCTGCCCCAAGCAGCAAAAAAAAAGCGTCGCCCCCCGCCGAGCGCCGCGCCGCCGGAGCCCGCCCCCCCCCTGCCGAGCACTGCCGGAACACCTCCCCCTCCCCAGCGCCGTGCCCTGCGCCACC